AATACAGCATTTGAAACGATCAAACAGAAGTTGCTTTCAGCTCAGATTTTGGCTTTACCGGATTTTTCTGCAGTCTTTGAGCTTCATTCCGATGCATGTAAATTCGGTATAGGAGCCGTCCTTAGTCAACATGGTCGGCCAGTGGCGTTTTATAGTGAGAAGATAGCTGGTTCTAGAGCACGATACAGCACTTATGACATTGAATTTTATGCTATTGTTCAAGCTATAAAACATTGGCGACATTATCTTTATCATCAGGAGTTCGTTCTTTACACCGATCATGATGCCTTGAAACATTTGGGAAGTCAGGAAAAGATCTCTGCTCATCATGCCTCTTGGATTGCTTTCTTGCAGCAATTTACGTTTGTGATAAAGCATCAATCTGGCCGTACGAACAAGGTAGCAGATGCGTTAAGTCGTCGCCATTCGTTGCTGGCTTCTCTACATGTCTCGGTTCCGGGTTTCGCTGTCCTTGCTGATTTATATGCCGATGATCCTTTTTTTGGCCGTATCTGGTCCGCCTTGCAACAGGGTTTACACTCCGAGTATGTCCTTCATGATGGCTATATCTTTCGCGATAATCGGCTTTGCATTCCTTCGAGCAGTCTGCGTCTCCAGCTTATCACAGAATTGCATAGAGAAGGGCATGTTGGTCGTGACCGTACGATTGAACTGGTGGCTACATCTTATTTTTGGCCTTCTTTAAGACGAGACGTCGCTCGTTTTGTAGAACGCTGTGTTGTTTTTCACCTCTCCAAAGGACATGCTAGCAACAGTGGACTCTACATGCCTCTTCCGATACCTACGCAGCCTTGGACGGATATAAGCATGGATTTTATCTTGGGATTACCTCGTACTCAGCGCGGCTATGATTCCATGTTTGTGGTCGTCGATCGCTTTCAAAGATGGCTCATTTTCTTCCTTGTAAGAAGACAACTGATGCGGTGCAGGTGGCTTAATTGTTTTTCTGGGAAATCTATCGCATTCATGGCCTTCCTCTGTCTATTGTGTCTGATCGCGATTCTCGGTTCCTTAGTCACTTTTGGCGTTCTCTTTGGAAATTATTACGTACTAGCCTCGCTATGAGTTCTGCTTACCATCCTCAATCTGATGGCCAAACAGAGGTTACAAACAGTTCTTTGGGTGATATGTTACGGTGCTTAGTCGGAGACAACATCAAATCGTGGGATACTATTTTGTGCAAAGCTGAATTCGCCCACAATGACGCTGTTAATAGGAGTACGAAGTTCAGTCCTTTCAGTGTTGTTTATGGGTTTGTTCGCGAGGCCCTGTTGATCTTAGTGTGGTCCGGATATAAACGGCGATCATGGTCAGGCGATCGATTTTGTAGCTAACCTCTCATTCATTCACGCTCAAGTTCACAAGAACTTAAAGGGTGTCTTCTGCAAAGTACAAAGCCGATGCTGATCGTCATCGTCGAGACGTCCGTTTCAAGGTGGGAGATCAAGTTTGGGCAGTGCTAACAAAGGATCGCTTTCCCGCTGGTGAGTATAACAAACTCAAAGCAAGGAAGATTGGACCTTTAGAGATACTTGAGTGCATTAATGCAAATGCGTATCGCATCAAACTTCCTTCAAATGTTCGTTCTTCTGATGTTTTTAACGTGAAGCACCTGGTTCCGTTCATCGCAAATGATGATGTTGAAGATTCGAGGCCGAATCTTTTTCTACCCCGGGTGACCTGATGCAGCACACATTCATCTTTCGTTTAGGATTTGGTTTTAAGTTGATTTCCTTTTCTTTTAGAATTTCCTTTTCTCTAATTATGCAGTTTTCCTTTTCCAGTTTGCTTTACGTTTAACGACTTCTATTTAAAGGGTTGATGTCTCAGCTTGTGAGAACACATCTCATTATTATTAATTATCAAAGAAGCTTTTGCTCTCTTCTCTTGCTTTCGGCTAGAACAGAAGTTCTCAACGAATTCAAGACGCGTGTTTCGTTTGGGAATTCTTAGACTAAACAATCGAATCCACCTTCATATCGGTTACCCTATCAAAAAGTTTATTATATAAGCAAACAGTAACATTGAATGTATCCTTCTAACTCTATTGAATTATATATATAAACATGTTTCTGCAGGGCTACGATGTATTGATTAAAAAAAATTCCATGTAGATTTGAAAAGAAAAATGATTAGAAGATTAAAAAAAGGAACCTGCATGTTCAGAAATTTTAAAAGTTTAGAGACTTAGGAGAGATGATGTAAAGTAACATGATTGCATTATCGTGGCTTGCTCACAAACATTTCCTCCCCGTATGATATATATATATATATATATATCTTCCAAAAAAAAAAGTATACAAACGATTTAGTCAAGCAGATTAAAAGAGAAGAAAGTAGTTCACTATTTCGTCGAAGCTAGATTGTAATTCAATCAGGACTAATAAAAACTATTTGAGTCTTTCTATATTTTTTTTTTGTCTTTTACTCATCAAATTTAAGGGCGATTAAGTCAAACCGAGAAGAAGAGAAGAAATAAAAGCACCTCCATCAAAGGTTGATGGAGGATTTTGGGCCCAGTAACCTAGGTAAAAAACATTAAAAGAAAATGAAAAATGGCCCAATTTCTATCAACTCGTATGTTATATTGTAATTTGTAGAACCTATATGTTAATCGAAGTGGCTGTTTCTAATTGGCTTAAGGAGTTGAGAAATTGTAATGAGAAAATGGAATTATTCTTTTCTCCATCATTTTTTCCCCTGACCAATTTCTCAACCCAGAAACTTTCTCTCCTCTTCCCCGATATTTTCTCTTCTCTCATCTCGACGATTCTCCTCGTCGGCGAACACAGACTTCCGGGCAGCCATCGCCTACGGTCGAGTATCATCTCATCTGTCCAGGTTAGAGTGATTTGATTCTTTGTTTTTCGATTTGTCGTTGTTTAAAGCTTAGTCGAAATTAGGGTTTATGAAAATTGGGGAAAAAAGTTGAGTTCATCCAAAATCGAAACAAGCTGCTCTATCCAGTGTTAAAACGAAACAATCTGCTTCGTTGAGTGCCATATTCGATAAGTATTTATGTGTTTTTTCAATTTAATTTGAAACTGAAGTTAGGGTTCTTTCGAATTTGGAGGAAATTTGGGATTTTTTATTAGGGTTATTTGGGGGTTCTAATTATGATTATACCGTGTTCTCTGCGTTCATCGAAACCTATATATGTGGTAGACGAGTTGAATCCGAAATCAAAATTAGGGTTCTCTCGAAACTGGGGTATAATTTGGGGGTTTTGATTGCGATTTGAAATGGTGTTGTTTTGTTCATATATATGTTAAGTGACATGTCTGTTAGGCAATAAAGTCGATGTGTTTTTAACGAATTGGCCTTGTTTGTTGCTTGATGATATAGTCCATGATCTTACTCATATGCGTGTTGATAGTGATTGTATACGTAGGCTTATGAGTGTTGTAGGGTTTGTGTATTTACTCTTCTGCAGTTTGTATTGGTGTTGCTTGATGTTGGTGATATTGTTTGTGTACTTAGATATAAGCGTTTTGAATTGGATTGTTTGATGCTTGTTGTGATTGTTTGTTTATATAGTTTTATGTTTGATAATATAGATTATGTGATATTGGTTGCTGATATTGTTTCATCTATGTGGGTAGAATATGCCGATTAGCTATAGTGAAACATCATCCGAAGCTCCAGAGATGGACATGGGATGGGCTTATGCCGATGTTACGTACGGGATCCCTAACAAATGCTTTTGCGGAAAGCTGATGAAGCTTGAAACAAAACTTGAGGGCCGCAAGTATTACAGTTGTCCTGACTACATGATAGATGTAAGTTTTTGTGTGTTGTTCTTGTTATGTATTTGTGTCAAAAGGTAGTTTTATTCATGTCTTCATTCGTCATAGCTGACCGGTGCACACAAGGAAGTTTGGTGGGATGAAGCGGTCACCGAGCAAATCGATATCATTGAGAGACGGTTAGATGCTCAAAAGGAGCTCATTCTCAGTGAGAACATGCCATGGATCAATGCATCGGATCCAACGCATGAAGAACTACAGCAAGATTTAAGGCATCTCGAAGGTGAAGTCTCAATGCTGAAGCAGAACATTGGAAACCAAGGTGATCGCATTGTGATGTTGCTATTTTTTTGTGTCTTCGCTGCTTGTTCATACATGTTCAAGTAGTAGAACTGAGTAATGGTTTAGTTTGAGAACTGAGTAATGGTTTATGTTTTTGGAATCTTGATCACACGATCATTCTCAGATTCCTAATTTAATGGTTTGCTTTTGACACCTGTAATGTGATGTTGCTACTTATGTTTTCGGATTCTTTAGTAGAATGGTTTGCTTTTGACATTGACTTCGTTTTAATTTATTTTAGCAGTTTGTTAACATTACTTCTTTTAATTTTTTGTGAGGTTAACTTGGAGACCTTGAGAAAACTGGTTGAGTTGAGATCCAACTGATACTTACGTCCATAAAAGTAAAGGTCAGCCCTTCTCTAACTAGTGCTTAATTAGTATAGTTACTAGAACCAGTTAGTAAATATATTTTGGTGGTTTAGTATTGGTAGTTTGGTTTAGGTTATCCATAGTAATGAATGCTAGTTACCTTTGTTAGGTATACGTCTAATGTTTAATGTTTGATAGTTCTGGTTGTGGTGTGATAAATGTTTAAAGTAAAAGATTTAAAACTTAACTCAAAATACATCAATACACTTATTGCAGATAACCTTTTAAACTACTTCATCATTACAACCCTTCAAACCCTTAAATGAAAACTTCACTCATAATACATCAATACACTTATTGCAGATAACCTTTTTAAACTACTTCTTCATTACAACCCTTCACACCCTTAAATGAAAACTTCGATCATCTCTTCATAAACACTCGAAAAACTTCACACTTCTCTCATCTCTTCACACCTCTACAACACGTCAAACTTCTCTCATCTCTTCACATTTCTAAAAACTTAAAACTGTTTTCCTCTTTTTCAACTTCGAAACACTAAAAAATTCTAACAACAGCTATGGATTGTCAGAATTCATTCAGTCAAACCGAAGGCTTTGTCAACCTCCTCAGCAGTCAGCTTGTTCACGACCCATACTCTCCTTGTATTGAACTTGGATCATCACAGGTTCTTTTGTTTAGTACACAAGGTACCGATGGTCCAAGTTTAGGTGGCGATGATCGTAAGGTTAGAAGAGCATGGACTCCCAAGGAAGATCTAATCCTCATTAGTGCATGGCTTAACACTTCCAAAGACCCCATCGTTGCTAATGAACAGAAGGCCGGTTCGTTCTGGACCTGGATCCATCGTTTCTACAACTCAAGTCCTCTACTAGTCGACCTCCCCAAACGCGATATCAGTCATTGCAAGCAGCGCTGGGGAAGGATAAACGACCACGTCTGTAAGTTTGTAGGGTCATATGCGGCTGCTACGAATGAGAAGACATCAGGGCAAAATGAGAATGATGTGATGAAAGCCGCACACGAAATTTTCTTCAATGACTACCTCTTCAAGTTCAACCTCGATCACGCATGGAGAGAACTCCGCCACGACCAGAAGTGGTGTGCAACACCCGCGATGAAGGATGGTGGAAAGGGAAAGCGAAGGAAAGTGGAAGCGGGGACAGGTCAAAGCTCTATGCCTGAAAACGTCGGTGATGATGTCACGCAGGTTAGGCCACCAGGTGTGAAGGCATCAAAGAGGAAAGGGAAAAGTTCAACCAGTATGAAAAAAGAGAGTGAAGAGATTGTGGACTTGGGTAATGTGTGGAAAATCAAGCAAAAGGATTTAGCACTCAAAAAGGAGATTGTGAAGCATAAGGTACTAGATCGGCTACTAGCCAAAACTGAGCTGTCTGAAAATGAAACGGCACTTAAGAACAAACTTATCAATGAGCTGTTGTAGAACTTTGAATGAGTTCAGGTATCTGTCTTTGTTTATGTTTAGTAGCTGGTTTTAATGTGTTTCCCGGTTATAATGTGTTTTGTTAGTCTTAATGTGTTGTTTGTTTTTAGTAGCTATTTGAGTCTTCCTTGTATTATTTGTTTTTTATTTGGTATGATGTATTAGGGGTCCTTCCTATCATGGTTTAAATTTAATGAAGAAGGTTTTAATTTGTTCCCAGTCCTCTTTCAAACATGACTTTAAGTGGTGTGTTTTGCATCAAAGAGCAAAGGTTGGTGATGCATTTTCGACCATTCATACAAATATGTATTGGTTTTATTTGTATTGACAGGATATTTGTCGATGCAAGGAATACTTGGACACAAGCATTTTGCCTTACCTTTCCCATGACCAGAAGCAAACAAAATAGATGGGCCATGCGTTTTGTTTCATCCACTTGTATTGAGAGTATTTTGTAGTGCATTGTTAACCATATGTTTATTTGAGTTTTTTGTAAGCCACATATTGTAATGTTTGTATTTTATGTATATATACAAACGCATTATCTCATCGACCAAACATCTCTTCACCTAAAATTCTCTCATATATCTCTCTTCTTTCCACATACCAAAACTACTTTTTTTTTTCTCAGCTATCAAACACAACAATGGCATCTTCAAGCGACAATGAGCTAGACGAGTCATTTGATGAAGCTTTTGGTCAAATTTTAGATCAGAAATTTGATAACATGTTCAACAATATTCTGGAACGCCATGCAGCAAAGAAAAAAAAGAAGAAGCGAGCTTACATAGAAAGAGATCGCAAGCAAGGGCATCTCCAATTATGGAACGATTATTTCTCTGAAGATGCCACTTATCCGCCACAGATTTTTCGACGCCGTTTTAGAATGAACAGGGATCTGTTCCTGCGTATTGTTGACCGACTTTCTCAGGAAATTCCGGCTCCAACTGGTGATCATAATTAAGGAATGGAATGATGAGGAATGTGCTATTCCTCTCCATTCCTAAAATTTTTTACCATTTAAAAGGAATAACTATTACATGTCATTCCTCTTTATTCCTCTTCATTCCTGTTTTAAAATGGAATGATAGAACAAATATATTCCCTATCAAATTTATTAAGGAACGAGAGGAATGCAAAAAAAGAAAATTAATAAAAGTATATTATATATATTGTTCTATTCCTTCTCTACAATTTTATGGATACCATTTACTGTGACAATTTATTACATTTTTTCTCTACATTTATTCCTTCTAATTTGTTCCTATCCTTCTTTTTTATTCCTTTTCCCTATCATTCCTATTGTTCCCGAAATGGTCACAAGTTAGAGCCTCCATATGTTCAGTAGAGAAGAAACGGTCATGGAAGGCTTGGTCTATCTTGGCTACAAAAATGTACGGCTGCAATACGTATTATGGCATATGGTTGTGCCGCTGACGCGGTAGACGAGTACCTCCGTCTCTGTGAAAGTACTGCAATTCTATGTTTGGAAATTTCACAGATGGAATCATACAATTTTCGGAGATGAGTATCTGCAAAGACTCACACGAGAAGATCTGCAAAGGTTGTTCCATGACGGAGAGATGCGTGGATTTTCCGGAGAGTACCATGGGAATGGAAGAATTACCCTACAGCTTGGAAAGGCCAATATACTCGTGGTGCCGGAAAACCAACAATCGTCTTAGAGGATGCAGCATCACAAGATCTATGGATATGGCATGCTTTTTTTGGACCTCTAGGTACCTTAAATGATATTAACCTTCTCGAGAGATCACCTGTTTTTGATGACCTTTTACAAGGACGAGTACCAAAAGTGCAATACTCGGTCAACGGACACTGGTATCATTTACCGTACTACCTCACAGATGGTATATATCCTAAATGTGCTACATTTATCCAATCCATTCGACTTCCTCAAGATGAAAAAACGCGGTTGTTTGCTACAACTCAAGAATCTGTCCGGAAAGATGTCGAACGTGCATTTGGAGTGCTGCAAGCTCGATTTACAATTATAAAAAATCCAGCTCTCATATGGGATAAAGAAAAAATTGGAAAAATTATGAGAGCATCTATCATATTGCACAATATGATAGTAGAAAACGAGCGAGGTGGCTACAGTCTGTATAATACAAAAGACTTCGAACCCGAAGAAGGATCTAGCTCTTCACAAGTGGATATGACGTACTCTACGGATATGGCTTCAAATCTCGGCAATCCCATCGCCTCTTCGATCCTCATCCGGAATCAAATTCATGATAAACAAATACATGACCAATTGAAAGATGATTTAATTGAAAATATTTGGAACAACTTTGGATAGAGAGTTTAAGAAGTACAACGTTTTATTTAATATTTGTATGTTTCTATGTTTTAATGTTTGTATGTTTTTTATCATATGTAAGTTTTTAAAATTCAATGAAATAAACATTATTTCTTAATTTTTTGATCACAAAAAGACAAATAAAAAAATATCGAAAACAAAAAAAATTAAAAAATATATATTATTTTTAATATATAACAACCCAGTTATTAGTTCTCTAATAAAAGGGCAAAAGAAGAAGAGTATGTTAATTTTGTTTTAGTTGGAAATCAATTAATAAAATAATCATAACAACTTCAAGTGGAGGTTCTTTAATGGAGGTGCTCTAAGAGCAGCTCCAATGGTAGTATTAGGAGGGGTTCTAAATATGTTTTTGATTTTAAAAAAAGGTTTAAATGGTTTAATATGCTTGAGCCGTCTCTTATTTTAGAGATTGAAAAGTCTGGGTTGAGCCCCATACGTGGTGCAAAATGATAGGTAGCATGTTTTTTTTTTAATCAAAGCTTCTGATTGATATAGAGTCTTTCAAATGAAAATATTGTTGAGAATATTTTCTATCTTCTTTCTTCGACTTCAGTGGTATCAAAGTATCCAGAAAGGGGATTGATCTCTCTACCGGTGTTCGATCTTGGCGAGTCGATGGCGGCGGCGACACAAGCTTCTTCTCCTCCGGCGTTCTGCTTAGACTCCGGTGGATTCTTCTCATCGGAAACGATGGTCGCGGAGCTTCCTCCCATAAAAACGAGATCGATCCAAAGCTAAATTCACAGGTGGCGTCTCAGATGCTCTGTTCTCATCCCACTTGAGTCCTGTAAATCCCTTGTTCGGATGACACATCTAAGTTTGTAATTCACACATCTATGTGTTTTTTATAGAGGAACTGGGTGAGTTTGGAGTTGAGATCAAGCTTTCTCTCTTCCAGCTTGGGCTCAGTCCACAAATAATAGCATCCATAATTATGCAGGTTAAGATCTTCCCTTTGATGTAATGTGTTTGCCTGAATTTGTGGGTTCTTTATGTATTAAGATCATGATTGATGATATCAAGTGATCATGAAAATGTGTTGTGCCAGGTGCTTTGTCACGTTCTTCCATCCTTGGTGAAGCTGCGAAAGGAAGGCTTAGATGGTCACGAGAAGATCAAGAGTTACATGTGTGTTTAGTTTTTTTCTTCTTAAGCCGTGAGATGAATTCTTAACATGCAATTAATTTGTTTGTTGTAGCTCTTGTGACTTTTGTGTTTCATTAAACAACGTTATTACTAAATCGTTTGTTTTTTACCTTTATCTTTTTTAGATGGTGGCTATCGTTTCTCTTTGCTATAGTGGAAGCTGTAGTGGTGGCTTGCACTTCTCTCCAATATTCAGTTTTTGCAGCCACCTCTCAGTAAGTTATAGGATTACTCACGTTCAGAGTAAGATATAATATTGCTTATAAATTCCATTCATTTCGCCACAGCTGATGCTTAAGAAATCATGCTTATTCAGAGTCAAGCATGTAATGGTGACAGCATTTTTACTAGTCTGTGGTGCAATGTTTTGGGTTTCATTTTTGAGTTTGTGTTTTGGTCGTGATAGTTTTGTGGCAAGGTTTTTAATTTGTATTAATAAAATGTTTGTATTTGAAAACAAATTATAATTAAATTTTTTTTTAAGCCTTTTTTAAGATTCTACCATTAGACAATAAAACAATGAAAAAATTTATAAGAAGTTCTAATTCACTAAAGTGATAAAAAAATTATTAAAAAATAAATTAAATCTCCTCATTAGAGACCATTGTTGGAGGTGGTCTAAGGTGACAGTTTCATGGAAGTTATGTATTATGGGATTGCAACGAAAATTAAAGCAGCAAAATATAAAATACAATTGTCACAAAATATAAAAATACAAGATAGGATATTCTGAAAACTGATGGGACTACTATATATATATGTAGATAATAATTTTATCAAGACGTGGAGCTTTATCTTTATTTCTATGATTATTTTTATTATAGGGCGAGTATAATTTTTTCCTTTTTGGTTACTTGCTACATTTTTTTACGTAGTATTTTCGACTAACACTATGTTAAATCTTTAACCAAAAAAAAATCACTATGTTATATATGCGATATAATATGTCTTATCTCGTCAATATATATATATATATTTATATATATATATATACTGTTTTTATTATGTTTTTGCGGATAACAGTTGACGTTAATTATTTGAGAATAAAAGGATAATATTATCAATTTTCGAAGCTATACTATTTAAAGAAATTACAATCTAGCTTCGACGAAATATTTGTTCTGATTGAATTACAAATATTGTCATTTTTTAGTGTTTTATATAGTTCCAATATTTGTAGAACAAATTGAGAGAATTACAAAAAGCAAGAAATATACTCTATTACACTTTATAAACCTACGCTTCTCATAAACTAAAATGACTCTAACCTTATACTATAAAAACAAATAAACTTTTGTTGGTTACCATTTCACTTTTATCTTGTGATATTATACGTGTTATTTTTCTTGATAGCACGCAATATGTTTAACAAAAAATATGTTCTTATATACAATTTTATTTTTGTTCTCGTATAATTTATAATATCACTATTTTCGTCAAATAGCACATTATTTTACTAGATATTACATTGTTTTATTATATAATACAAATTCTCTTAAGTACAAAAATGTATTTTCACCGCAAAAAAAATCACATTGATTGGTATATCTGATAGTAAAGCATTATATTTAAGTAGCAGTGTGATGCTGAAACTGTATGCTCTTATTAGTGTACATAATTTAAGTGATTGGTAGAGTTGTGAGTAATTAAATATATTTTTTTGAAAAAAAAATATTTAATATATTAATTCATATGTGGTATATTATATTTATAATTTAAGTTTTTAAATTTTTTATATTTATCATATTTATTAAAATTTTACAATATCTAGTTACATAGTCACTAACTTAATCAAGTTACCCTAAAAAAATAACATCTCGGAAATTTTTGAGAGAAGATTCAAAATACCGGTAGTTTAAAACAATATTAATTCAAATAGTTTTTATGCATGGTTTAGGAACCGAAACTTAAAATGTGAATAAATTAAAACACGGTACAAACAATTTAAGTACCAGATTTTCACATTTAAAAAGCAATATTGATTCTTTTTTTTTTCCCTTTCACGAACCATTTTTCGTACAAGGCTGAACATGATGGACTATTTTCAACTGCATAGGCTGACCTTTGTCGGGGATTTATATCTTCAAGGCCTCAAGTGCTTGTTATAAATGTGTCATCATGAGCTTGGGGAGCTTTTGTTTAGAATGATTTTCAATGAGAGTCATTTAAATCTCAATCAACAAAACGATATCACCAAACTAACACAATTTGCATGATCAAATCTTATAAGATAGCATTCGAATATTTAAAATAAACACCACAAAATTATTAAAAAGGACAAAAAAAGGGAGACAATACATTCGTACATAAAATATGAAATTAAACACCAGAAAATTCTGCTCCATGGAGCTCAAACCGATCACCACCTCAAATTGATTCCTTTAAAAAGAAATCTTAAATAGTATGTCTGTTCACATGATGATACAAACATCGGATTTCTTCATTGGCCCTTTATTCCGACGAGGATAAGATTTTGGCCAAGTCACTCGTGGAACCGGAGTACTGTGATTTTGCCCCGGTCCTTCATCTGATGCAATCGCGATAATATCAGCATGTTCATATATCTTCCTCAATTTCTTCGTCATGGGATACTTATCAAATTCACCCGTCACCTTTAATTTACCATGTTCCTTTACGTCTATCGCAGTAACTCCTAACGAAAAACAAATAAAATATTACATACACATTCCTTAATTGTTTTCAGCCTAAATAGGTATACAAACCGGTAAATCCTGCCAATAGTGGTTTATTTTGGTTTAATATAACTACTGATTTGTGAAATTGTACCAGGAACCCCACAGACAAGTTTCATAGCTTTCTGTCTGATTTTTCTGTCAGACGTTCCCAACGTGAATACAACTTTCTCCTGCAAATTAACATTTAAACAAAATTATTCAAAAAAAGCTTTCTCGCAAAAAAAGCTATTAAAACAAATGAAGGCTTGAAATAAAGCTACTAAAACTGTACAGTTCATGGTGTAAGCTGTAAGCAATAAGTTGATATATATATATATCCTACCGTTCTGCCAGTGAAATTTTAATTTGTTAAAACTATTATGAAAAGAAAACTTGAGAACAAAAAAAAATAACGAACCTGCATTTTTGGAAAATCAAAAAGTTTGTATCTTCTTGTATGGATCTCTCTTCTTCTCTATTAATGCGTTCAGTTAACGAAAAAAAAAAGTTTGGAGAAAGAAGAGAGATAATGTAAAATGAATGTTATTGGCAACCTCGTGGCTTGCTTATAAATGAAGGCACAAGAAGTTGCAGTCAAGATTCAAGCCGAAGTGCACAGAGGATCATACGAGGAAAGGAGTAACTTGATCGAGTGACGTGGTGTTATCAAAATAGGAACAAGGGAGATATTGCGATGGAAGAGAATATCAAGAGAAGATATGAGAATATTTGATGGAGAAAAATAAGGAAGGTGATGAAGGCAGTATAAGAAGCGTGAGAGGGTATTGACCTAGTGCGCACAAAAACAGAGAAAAAGGATATTGGTGAGCGAATGTTTTTGTAAGAAGAGAGTAAGAAGAAAACTCGAGTGATTTGAGACTTTGGGTAGATTTAGGATCGGTCAGTGTCGGGTCAAGAGTTTGATTGCGAATAAAACTGATCAAACAAGTCTGTAAAGGATTGTTTGAAGGATTCTAAATAAAGAGTGTTTTGGTTGTGCATTGAAATCCTGTCAGATCTATACTACCGGTTTTTCATTTGCATTGTCCAAACCTTCTCAAGAACAAAGAAAAATCACTTATAAGTTTCAGCGAGAGTGATTCTGATGATGATGATGAAGGAGAAGACTTTCTGAACTTTGTGGCTTTTATTGGATCCGAAGAAAAGGTTCAAAAGGATGACAGCTCAGACTCTGAAGATGAAGCAGAGATTGATCCAAAGGAGGAGTTCAAAAAATTGTATGATAGCTGGATTGTTCTGAGCAATGAGAAACTGCAACTCACAAAAGACAAACTAATGCTTGAGGCGAAAGTCAACATTCTCGAGATAGAGAATCAACAAGAGACAGAATCAAAGAGCGTGGATGCGAACGAGAGGCAGAAGCTGGAAGACAGGATCAAGGATCTCGAAGCTGCACTGAAACTCACCAGTGATGAGAACGGAAAGCAACAGAGAGAGTTTCAAAGTGAAAAGAGAGCTGATGCAACAAGCAGTGGAACCAAAGCTCTTAATATAATTCTCTCAAGTGGTCAATCAGGAAAAAATCATTGGGGTTTAGGGTATCAGGGTAATTCGTCCAAGAAGTCTGCAACAAATGGAAATCTCATAAACTTCGTAAGAGGAAGTGAGGCTTTTACCGAGCAACCACGAAAAGAAAGAATTCAGTTGAATACCGAATCTCAGAAAAATGGTAAACAGTGTGAATCAGTATCCAAGGAGACTCAGACCATGAATGCATACAGAGAAGCGAAGACGTACAGCAGGAAAGTTGGATGTTTTTTTTGTGGAAGACATGGTCACATCAAGTTTTTTTGTTACAGGCTTCGCAGGAAGATTCAACAAGCTTGGCGAGCTAATAGATGTTTTATTGAGCCAACCAGATATCGCAAAGTGTGGATTGAGAAACAATATCTATACAACTGCTCGAAAGTCACAACTATGCAGGAAACTACAAGACACAGCATCGATACTGATAAGATAAGCGATGAACCTGAGCTTGTGTGCTCGTTGGCTATGATTGATTTCGAAGATGTTCAAGAAACGAGTTTGGTCGCATATACATCGACTGAGAATCACAATAGTGAAGGATGGTTCTTTGATAGCGGGTGTTCAAGACACATGACAGGGAAGAAAGACGTTCTAAACGAAGTAGACGATGCCGTGGGTGGTAAAGTGACCTTTAGAGATGGTGGTAAAGGTAAAATCAGATGAAAAGGAATTCTTGGAGGAAACAATCAACCTAATCTGGTGAATGTTTATTATGTTGAAGGCTTAAGAGCGAATTTAATCAGCATAAGCCAACTATGCGACGAAGGTTTGAGTGTGACCTTCACAAAGACTGGATGCAAAGCTGTAAACGAGGCAGGGAAGGTGGTTCTGAGAGGAATACGCGCAGAAAACAACTGCTATATGTGGAAAGCAGACGAAGTGTGCTTAACTGCTATAACTTCCGATCTGGATTTATGGCATAAAAGGTTAGGGCATATGAACATAGACAGCTTGACTAGGTTAGTAAGAGGTAAAGTGGTCAGAGGGATACCAAAATTAGAAAGCAAAACTCAAACAGTATGTGGAGCCTGTGCCAAAGGTAAACAGATCCGAGTGCAACACAGAAAAGTAGCCGATGTGGGAACAAAGAGAATACTGGAGCTAGTCCATTTCGACCTCATGGGACCCGTTCAGATAGAAAGTATTGCTGGAAAGCGATACATATTTGTACTAGTTGATGATTTTTCTCGATTTACATGGGTTAGATTCCCTTAGAGAAAAGTCAGAAACAGCTGAGAGTTTTAAAGTTCTGGCTGTGCAACTCAGGAATAGCAAAGGAGGGATTGTTGAAATTCGTAGTGACCATGGAGAGGAGTTTCAAAGTGATATCTTTGAGAAGTTTTGTCAATCTCAAGGGATAAGGCATCAGTATTCAGCTCCACGAACACCTCAACAAAATGGAATCGTTGAGAGAAAGAACAGAACTTTACAAGAAATGGCAAGAGCCATGATGCAAGGGAACAATGTGGCTAAACAGTTCTGGGCTGAGGCTATAAGTACAGCTTGTTACATCATTAACAGAGTATATGTAAGACCTGGAACTAGCACTACACCTTATGAGATATGGAAAGGAAAAACTCCAAATCTGAGTTACTTTCATGTTTTTGGGTGCACATGCTACATTCTAGATGACAAGGCAAACCTCGGCAAGTTTGATTCTCGCAGTGATGAAGGAATCTTCATGGGTTATTCGCTTCACAGCATGGCATATAGAGTCTACAATAAGAGAACTCGTACCATCGGTGAATCAGTAAATGTCGTTTTTGATGACAGAGGTAATACGGCTGTAGGAGACATGCAAGATGATGACTTCTCAACCGAGAAGGTCAAGGTAAGTAACTCGCAGAGAAATCTGATGGATGTCTCAGAAAATGTGATTACAAATGACCAAGCAGAGTTGCATGACCTGCAAGTTCATCGAAACCATTCTGCAGATGATGTTATTGGTGATCTAGGTGATGCAAGAAGGACTAGAGGGAAGCAAATAAACTTCCGAGAAATGTTGATGTTTGCTTGTTTTGTATCAACCATCGAGCCTAAAAACATAACTGAAGCATTAGAAGATGAATTTTGGATGAATGCAATGCATGAAGAACTTGAGCAGTTTGTAAGGAATGAAGTCTGGGATTTAGTAGCAAAACCAGACACTGTTAACATAGTAGGCACGAAGTGGATATACAAGAACAAGATTGATGATGAAGGAAACATTGTGAGGAACAAGGCCAGACTAGTAGCTCAAGGGTATTCTCAAATTGAAGGTGTGGATTTTGAGGAAACTTTTGCTCCAGTAGCTAGATTAGAATCAATCCGGCTTCTTCTTGGAATAGCTTGTATTCTGAAGATAAAGTTATTTCAAATGGACGTGAAAAGTGCATTTTTAAATGGCTTTCTACAGGAGGAAGTTTATGTGGCTCAACCAAAAGGGTTTGAGGATCCAAACCACCCTGATCATGTTTATAAGTTGAAGAAGGCCCTCTATGGATTGAAACAAGCTCCTAGAGCTTGGTATGAGAGACTCACAGTGTTCCTAATGGAAAATGGTTTTAGGAGAGGAAGTGTGGACCAAACTTTATTCATCTATGAGGAGCAGAATCATATATTAGTGATTCAGGTCTATGTAGACGATATCATTTTCGGTGGTACCAAGCAGACACTAGTTGACAAATTTGTGAAAACTATGTCACATGAGTTTGAAATGAGCATGGTTGGCGAGTTGAACTATTTTCTAGGAATGCAGATTAAGCAGACCTCAGATGGGATAACTGTGTCTCAGAGTACCTATGCAAAGAATCTGATTAAGAAGTTTGAAATGCAGACATGTAAAACGGCTAGAACACCTATGAGTACAACTGCCAAGCTCGGAAAAGATGAAGATGGGGTAAAAGTCAGTGAATGTTTGTACAGAGCTATGATTGGCAGTTTGCTCTATCTCACAGCTAGTCGTCCAGACATAGCCTTGAGCGTTGGACTCTGTGCTCGCTATCAAGCTAATCCTAAACAATCGCATCTCAGTGCGGTTAAAAGAATCATCAAATATGTAAAAGGAACACTAGATTATGGTTTATGTTACACTAAAGACACTAATGAAAATTTGGTTGGTTTTTGTGATGCAGATTGGGCTGGTTCCATAGATGATCGGAAAAGCACCTCTGGTGGGTGTTTCTATCTCGGAAACAACATGATAGCTTGGCATAGCAAGAAACAAAATTGTGTAACACTCTCTACTGCTGAAGCTGAATATATTGCCTTGGGAAGTTGCTGTACTCAGCTTCTATGGATGAAACAAATGCTAAATGATTACGGTATGTCTTCTGGTCCCTTGTTAGTTCAATGTGATAACATGAGTGCTATTAACATATCTAAGAATCCTGTGCAACATTCACGAACCAAACACATAGATATCAGACATCACTTTGTACGAGAGCTTGTTGAGGAGAAAACTGTTGAAATTAAACATGTGTCTTCTGAAAATCAACTAGCAGACATTTTTACAAAACCTTTAGATTTGAATACCTCTACGTTTACGAAAATTACTTGGTATATGTGAATGCTGAGCGTTTGTGCTCGTGAGATGTTGCAACCACTTAGATACGAGTACGACTCACTGCAGATTTCTTATTTTTATATATATGTATCATCCTCACAAAACCTCATGTCATGTGGACAAGACAAGTACGTGAGTTTCTTGAAACTTTGTCTTCTGTGGATGTGTTAGTCCAAAAAGATAGACACTCTTCTTGGATTTGGCGTA